AAAAAAAAAAAAAAAGAACTGAATAGAGTATTACTAATAAGATATGTAGTTATCTAGAGTGCATATTTATAAATAAAGGCATTGATGTAATGAGAAAGTACAGTTGGCAGAGGGAAGATACTCGAATTTTAAGCCCCTATTTTATTTCCCACTCTGTAGTTCCCTCATTAATCTGTGAGTTCCCGTTTCCTGACATCCTTTCTCCCATTGCTCTTCTCACTTAGAGCTGAAGGTAATGTTAAAACATTTATTTGAAAAACAGATATCAAGGAAATGCACTGTAAACAGCATAGTTCTTCTATTTAATTGACTCAGTTATATAAAGTAGGAAATCATGCTGAGGATCACTGAGAAGGACTCCAGGAGCCTGCAAAAGGAACAGAGTAAAGATAATATGCAGAGCAGGACTGGGGATGTAGCTCAGTCTTATGTGCATATGGCCCTGGGGTCAATCCCCAGCACCACAAAAGAAAAAAAAAAAAAAAAGGGACAATATACAGAGTAAAGATAAGTCATTTGATCAAATGAGCTAAAGGTCTAAATCACTCTAATGGGTTAATCTGGAGAACTTCCAAAGTCAATTGTTTATCTGTCTTTTTACAGTCTCACTTAACCCAGCTGAATCAACCACATGTGATTTTATGTAAAAAATGTAGAAAAAGGGAGAAATGAAAGGGTGGTTTTTGCCTTAGAGTCCACTACTTAGATCCTATTTGGGTCTTTACCTACTTGTCAGAGTGGCTTTTTCAAGACATGGAAAGTGAGACAGTATTCAGGACAGTGAGAAGTGTGTTGTGTTGTCAAATCTGAAGGCAGTACTTTTTAGTTCTGACTAACACATTGAGGAATTACCTTAATGTTTATCTTCCACTGACTATTATAATAATCACTAGATTCCAACAGGTGACTTTCATATAGTCTTCACAGAACTGTAGCTGGATCTAGGACTAGCCTAAACACTAAAAATGGATGTGTAACCTGAGCAGTTCTACAAAACTATCAGCTAGCTTTTGTGAAGGACTGTTATTATTAAAAGGTTTATATAGCTTGTATTTAAATTCCCCTTTGGTTTGCAAGTCAAAATTTCCCTTAGGTTTTCAAATTTCACTACTCTTATCTTGTTTACTTGGAGCTCAGTTTTTATGGTAGGTTGTGTGAGGTGAAAGACAAAATAACCTATGGCTAACTAAGGACTTGTGTTTGTATTTTGCAAGGCATCTTTGTATATACAGGAATTCTCTTGCAATTGTGAAATGCCTCCTCTCCTCTTTGTTATTTACAGAGGAGTGCTGGGAAAATCTGGAAGTTCTTCACTCCTTATAAGCCCAGCTTTTCAGTCTCACCTACATAGGTGAAAACACTGCTGGAATGCTGATGCACACCAAAGGATATTTTAACATAGTAATCCTTTTAAAGCATATTTCTGTCACTGTGAATTGCCTTCTTCTTAGCAACCCCCACTGTATTCTTCTGGATTCTTCCACCCAACCTACTTTACATTTTTCGATAGCAAAGAGTAATTTGTTGCAGATAAGGCATAGATATCTTGGCTTTTTGTCTCAGTCCTCTGATAAATGCTTATCACTTCATTTAATTTCCTACTACAAGGCTTCCACTGGGTATGAAAAGCACATATTCTTTGCACTGAATGAGCAAAGCCATAAAAGCTAGAGTTTACAGACCAGTTGAAAAAGCTAATTTAGCAAATGCCTGTGTATGTTAACCAGCTGTGGGATATTTCTATGTATTTTCTTTAGGAAGACATATTTTAAATGAATCAAAGAGCTTAAAATAATTACAATAGGATGTCAAGTTAGTTTTTAGTGTGAAATGACTTAAACTTGGGCACTGTTTGAAAACTGATGCCAGTAGTATTACTGAAGTGAGGTGGTAAAATCATTGGCTTTTTAGTGAGTATAAAACAAAAAGGAGGAGCAAAGTTCTATTCTGAATTTATTCTTAAAGATGCAGTCATCAAGACCAGTACTGTTAGTGAGGCTGGAAAGCTGCCATGCCATTAATATTAAATTGATTTATATGTGAAATTTGGAAGTGTTGAGGCTGGAAATTTGGAAGTGTTGGTATTGTTATAGTGRTGTTCGGTAAATATGCTCTCAAGTACATAGAGGTCTAAATGGAAAATGTGTTTTTCAATGTTTTTAAAAACCCTGAAAGATACTGTTTATAATTAAATTCTCCTGATGTCTGATTTTTTAATTATGAAAATTTTCAACCACATACAAGAGTATTGACTATCACTTAGGTTCAACAATATCAGGATTTTTTTTTTTACTCTAGTCTATCTTCTTCTTTAACTATAAAAGTAATTCCCAAACATCATATCAATTCCCTCTTTCATTCATTAGTACACATTCCTGAAACTTTTATGTCATCATAAGCTATAATTACATATTACAAAATACAAAAATGCATTTTTTGGAATAGGTAACTAAATGCAGTAAAACAATTTTCTATCATAAATACCTTAGGGAAACGGGACTCGGGAATGGAGAGGCATACATCTCCTCTGAAGACAGTTATGTCTGTGCAGTTTTCTTCTCAGGGCCAAATTAGCTAAAGGAAGGAAAAAGAAAGATTAGGAGCCTTTTTTAAAAAAAATCAATTTGTATAATCTGGAGAATATAAAATTATATTTGCAGTCAAACTGTTCTGTGTTTATTTGCCATTTGTTCATAGATGATTGTAGCATAAATAATCTGATGCATATACACAAAGTAGATTCCTAACAGTGTTAATAGCAAGATCTTAATAGTAATATCCTCCTCCTTTCATGTAATTTCTTCCTAAATATTCTTTTATATAGGAACTTAGTCATAGAACATTGCCCAGTGTTTGGTATTTTGGAAAAGAAGAAATGGTTTGAATAGCAGTTGCTGCTTTCTGAGTTGCTGACTTGGTCTGTTTTTCTTATGTAAAAGGACAGCCTGGGACATCATTTGAAAATAACCTCATGCCAATCAAACTTCTAATTAACTAAAAGTCTGAGTTTTTAACAAGTTATGTACCATTTCTGTTCTACTGAAGAAGTACATTATCAAGTAAATATAACATTTGGATTATCACCTTTCTATTAAAGCTTGGGTTTGCAGTTTTTGTGTGTCAGAAAACTTTAACTTTCTAAATTTTTTACCTACTGGTACTTTAAAATCTAAGTCATTTGGCTTTGAAGTAAAAATACATTCAAATAATTTTGTCTACTAAATTCCTGTTGGTTAAATATAACACATTCTTGAAAAAGATGTCAGGTAAATTTAATATTATATGTCTTGATCATGCACATTTTTGGCTCTATAAACACAATACTAYAAACTGTGCTTTCTTTGTTTTAGGTGATCTACCTATTATGTAACTAGAAATTGCAACTATTGACTCATTTTATGATTTCATCTACATTTTGCCATGCTATGATTTTTACATGTTGTACACTCAATTAACATTGCTCTCCTCTGCCAGCTACATGCTCTTTGAATGAAACAGCTCTGAATTTTGCATTCTAATTAAAAGTTGTTGATTTATTAAACTCTTTAATGAATAAACTAAGATTTGCATTTCTTTCTATTTGTAAGAACAACCCATCTTCAATAGCTTAGATTTAGATTTTCTTTGCATTTAGAAAAATAGTGGTAAAATATTTAGCAATACTTTAACATACAATTGCKTTTTCATATATTCAGATCTATCCTGTCACCAGCAGGATGGCATTACTTCAGAAATCCTACACATTTACCCCCAATATTATTGCAAACACGCCTAAGCAACTCTCTCAACATAAACACAGTTGTACTCAGAACCAGAGACATAAACAGGCATAAAAACAAGTTACTCCATACAAATGTATGAAAGTCCTACCTGGTCTCTGTCCGTTGATTAGGAGAAGACTCATCACAAAAATTAAAAAAACACACAAAAATTGTTGAAATCTCATTTTCCTGCCACAAGCAAGTGGAGTAATAGCTCTTAAAGTAAACTAAACAATCTGTAAATAGTCTGTGCAATATCTGTGTGGCTCTCCTCACATTCTAATGACAAACCTCAGAGGACTGCCAGCTGCATTTTCCAGAAAGGTTAATGATCACATCAGACAAGGTTACTGGTGCGCTGTGCTGTGGTCAGAGGCTCCCTCAGCCTCTAACCCCTCCTCCACTCATCTCCTCCTCCCTGCCCCCTCCCCAGTCACTCCCCTTTATTTCCATAAGCAAATATTGGTGAAATAGACCATTCAAGCATGCAGTAACTTCAGTGGGAAGTCTACTCTGGAAGCTCTGCGGAGAGTGACTTAAATTCAGCCTGGATATGGAGAAATATGTAAAACAAGGCATGACACTGCCTCCTCCCCTCACCATTTGCATCTGTTTAAACTTTGCATTGCCCATATTGGTCCCACATGCAGAAACCAATGGAAATGACAGGAAGTCTCTCTTTTGTCCTTTTCAGAAGGAATTCTGAAGCTCGAACTTAAGACTCCCAAATGCTTTGTGGGAACATGTGCTGAACTGCTTTATCTCTAACAAACCTACTACAAAGGGGTGACTATTTATACTAAATCTCCAAATTGCTGAATTCATGTGGGTTTGTATCATTAAAGAGTTCTGGGGTTTAGAATGTTCTGAAATCTGCAAAGTGTTTATATTTTTATTTTTCTACAGTGCAATTTAAAAAGTAACGGGAATTATTTTCATCTGCAAATGCCCACGATTTTAAAAAAGGAAATTTGGTCAAGCCACAAACTCATAAAATCTGTGTTCTGTTATAAATTTATATGTGGTGGAAGACCAGGCTAACATATCACGTCACAGGAATTAGAGATGTAGAACTTTCTAGTTCATTTCCCAGTGAATTCAGAAGAAAGAAAAGCAGTTTAGACTTGTCTTTTGTGTATATGCACCAAGACCTCTTTTTAAGTATTTCCTTATATGTAATATATAGCTGTTATAGATGGAAATTACTGCACTTATTATAAATTAAACCAAAAGGATGGTGTTGCTACACTCTGAAATACAAATAGATCCAAAACACTAAATCTAAAGCATATGTAACTTGTAATTAACTGCCAAGAATTTTGTTGTGTTTGTTTTCTTTAGATTCAGGTAGTTGGTACACAAGCTTGGGCTTCCTAAGTTTTTAAATTAATGCAATTTTGTCTTGATTTTACAAATTGACTTATAAAAAAATTTCCTATCTGCCTAGTTATCCATGCAGTTATAACAAGCAAGAGCATAAAAAATTTCTTAAAAATCACTGTCTTGGGGCTGGGGATGTGGCTCAAGCAGTAGCGCACTCGCCTGGCATGTGTGCGGCCCGGGTTCGATCCTCAGCACCACATACAAACAAAGATGTTGTGTCCACTGAAAACTAAAAAATAAATATAAAATTCTCCCTCTCTCTCTCTCTCTCTCTCTAAAAAAAAAAAAAAAAATCACTGTCTTAAAGTCTTGAGAATTTTTGCTTGTTTGAGGACTAGGAACAGTGTTAAAGAATACTACTTTGCTATATTTGTACACTCTCCATAAAATCAATTGAATACAAGAATTAGAACTCATGATTCAGAAGGGCTTTATGAATGGCAAAGAATTGAGTGTTAATTCAAGCAAACCAATAGAAGACATAGATTTWAGTAATCTATATGTCAAGTCAAGTTTAACTTTATTCAAAGGTATAGTAGCTAGTCTTTTTTATAAATAAGACAATAACTTACCACCAACAGCGAATATTGATTAATTTTTTGTTTAATTTTGTTACCAGGTTATCTGCAATGAATTCCTAGAAAATGGCTAATATATATAAGTGCTATAGAAGTTATAATTATATCACATCTCTACCACTCGAGATAAAAGAACTTGCGCCAGGCATAGTGGCACATGCCTGAGGCAGGAGGATTGAAGGTTCAAAGCCAGCCTCAACAACTTAGCGAGGCCCTCAGTAACTTACCAAGACCTTGCCACAAAGTAAAGAATAAAAAAGAGCTGGGGATGTGGTTCAATGGTTAAGCACCCCTGGGTTCTATCCCTGTACCAAACCAAACAAAACAAAAACAGTGTTTTAGTTATGTAACCATACAGAACATTAATTTCTTCATTTTTAAAAACTGTAGTAAAACACTTGGTTTTCTGATCTTTTCTCTTCCTTCTTTCTTTCCTTCCTTCCTTTGGATTGAACCCAGAGGTACTTTACCATTGAGCCACATCACCAGACTTTTTATTTTGCAAATGTCTTGCTGAGTTGCTGATGGTGTTCCTTACTTGCCCAGGCTGACCTCAAACTTGGGATCCTTTTCCCTCAGCCTCCTGAGTTGCTGGGATTACAGGTGTGTGCCATGCACCAGGCAAAACACTCAGTTTTCTACTGAAAGAGTTGTACYGTGGATTCAATCCCCATTACCAAAAGCAATCTCTTTAAAGGCTGGCTTATTAATAGCTTAAAATTCTCTTCAAGACATGTTATTGAATAAAAGATGGTGCATGAAAAAAAAAGAGTTATAAAGGTTTAGTGAGCTAATATATTAAAATTATGAAATTTTAAATATTATCTTATATATTTTAAATTATTTGTTCAAAAAAGAAGATGATGGGGGCTGGGGATAATGGGCTCAGTTGGTAGAGTGCTTGCCTCGAATATACAAGGCCCTGGGTTTGATCCCCAACACCACAAAAAAAAAACAAGAAGATGATGATGTTTAAGTGGTTACTTTTTAAAGTGTAGTAGTAAAATGATTATAGAGTTGATGGACAAACTGAAATGACAAACATTGAGGGACAATGGTAAGTGATCCAGTGTTTCTGTGGAATGTGAGTCAACAATAGTGGTAAATCATTCATCTTACTTAGCATTGAATAACCAGGTGTGGAGAAATCTTGGCAGGAAAGTGTTAAGTCAGAGCAATGCAGCTGGCTCTGCAAATGATATGTTTAGCCTGTAAATATATGAAAACATGACTCTTTTTGGAACAGTAATCTCAACTTCCACCTTTCTACCATGTGTCAACCTGCAATGAATGAACCCAATATTGCCCTCTGGGCCAGGTATCATGCTAAGTGTGTTTCATATATCATATAATCGGCCCCAAAACACTTGGAAGCAATATTCACCTATTCATCAGATGAGAAAACTGACAGGAAAGAGTAATAGATGGATCCAAATTCCATGACCTGAGCTCTCAACTATTATCTTTTGTTATAAGGTCTAGTAGTCTATTGAAGCTATTATAAAAATAGAGATAAAAGCCAAGCATGTGGTACATGTCTGTAATCTCCTTGATAACTCAGGAGGCTGAGGCAGGAGGATCACAAGTTCAAAGCCAGCCTSAGCAATTTAGTGAGACCCTATCTCAAAATTAAAAGTAAAAAGGACTGAAGATATAGCTCTATAGTAAAGTACCCTTGGGTTCAATCACTAGTACCAAGAAAAAAAAAAAGGCAAAATACAGATATTAACAATATATTTCTTATGATAGGTTGAATAGTATCCCTTCAAACCTTAAAAATTTATTTCAATGTAGAACTTAAAAACTTAAAAATGTGCTGGGTGCAGTGACGCAAGCCTGTAATCCTAGCGGCTCSAGAGGCTGAGGCAGGAGGATCATGAATTCAAAGCCAGCCTTAGCAATGGTGAGGTGCTAAGCAACTCAGTGGGACCCTGTCTCTAAATAAAATACAAAATAGGTCTGGGGATATGACTCAGTGGTCAAATGCCCCCGAGTTCAATCCCTGGTAATAAACAAACAAACAAACAAAAACCTTAAAAATGTGACCCCATTTGGAAATAGAGTCTTTGCAGATGTAATTAGTCAAAATTGAGCTGAAGTATGTTGGATTCTAAATCCAGTACGACAGGTGTCCTTAGAAAAAGATGAGACATGCAGGGCTACACAGCACGATTGCCAGGTGACACAGGTAGAAATTAGAGTTATGCTGCTACAAACAAAGGAACAAAAGCCAACGATTGCCAACAACTACCAGAGGCACAGAACAGATTCATTCACCTTCTCAGTCAATGGAAGGAATCAGTCCTACTGACACCTTGATTTTAGACCTCTGGCCTCTTGAACTGTGAAAGAATAATTACTGTGAAGCCACCCAGTTTGTGACATTTTGTTATAGCAGCCCTAGGAAACCTATACAATTCTATAATACATAAATTCTGTAGATGTGTGTATATATATGTAGCCCTGTAGCCCGCGTCCTGTGGGGGCTTTGGAACGAGGGTCACTTGGGTGAATTGGGCTGGCACCAAGGAATCACACAGACACAGAAAATACCTTTTACTTGGGGCATTTCAGGATGGCTTCTCCACCTCCAACTGTAAGCTCCCACAGGGGGGACAATAGAAAAACACAGAAAGGCTGGCAAGAGAGAGTGAGCACACCCTGAACCCTGGTTTTTATTGAAGAGAGCCATTCGATAGAACATTCCATCCAAAAAAGGTATAGGAACAAGAAGGCAGCCCACTCCCATTGGGTAACGCCCACTCCCTGTGGAGGGAGGGGAGATCCACCTGTTTCTACTCAGGGGAAACCTGTCTCACACCTCCACCACTCAAGGCTAAGGGTGCTCCACTTCTATACGGCTGCTACACACAAACACACACACACACACACACACACACACACGAAATTTAATAAAACATACTTATTTTACAGTGGTATACTGTCTATCAGGTATTTAACAAAGTTATGTTATTTACACATCGTACTCTTTTTTTTTTTAAAGAGAGAGTGAGAGAGAGAGAGACAGAGAGAAAGAGAGAATTTTTTTTTAATATTTATTTTTTAGTTCTCGGCGGACACAACATCTTTGTTTGTATGTGGTGCTGAGGATCGAACCCGGGTCGCACGCATGCCAGGCGAGCGCGCTACCGCTTGAGCCACATCCCCAGCCCCACATCGTACTTTATAAGTTTTATATGCACTTTACAGATGAGAGAACTCAG